CTCTCTCCTCTCTCCCTCCCTGACGCCCACCCTCACCCTGGCCATCAGCTCCTGGGCCCCCAGCAGGGCCTGTGCAGAGTCTGGGCCCTGACTGAGCCCTGGGCTCCTCATCTGGGGTGAGGATGTCCCACTGGGGGCTCCGGCTCTGTCTCTGTCTCTCTCCCTCCCTGACGCCCACCCTCACCCTGGCCATCAGCTCCTGGGCCCCCAGCAGGGCCTGTGCAGAGTCTGGGCCCTGACTGAGCCCTGGGCTCCTCATCTGGGGTGAGGATGTCCAGGGGCCCACTGGGGGCCGACCCCTCGGAGGAGAGGCTGTGTCCAGCGTAGCATCTGTAGCGGCCCCCGAGGGAGGCGCTGGCAGGGCCCAGGGGGAAGTCGGCCTGAGAGAGCCCAGCCTGGGGCTGCCGGCCAGGGCGCTGGGGGAGGTCCCGGGCCCCCTCCTTGGACAGAGCGAATGTGTCATAGGTGATGTCAGAGCGACACTGCAGGGTCAGGGTGTGTCCAGGGGCCAGGACAGGGCCCTGCTGGGTGAGGAGGGAGGGCTTCCTGGGCAGCCCTGGAGGAGGAGGAGCGGGCTGAGGGGCTGCTTCCTGCCTCAGCCCTGCCCCTCCTGTCCTGCCCTGGGGTCTCCCCATCTCTCACCCTTGGGTGGTTGGACTCTGGGGTGTTCCCGTCAGTTACCCACACACCTGGCTCCCCTGGACGTGGGGCTCCTACCAATGTGTTTGGAGCCTCAAGAATGTTTGGGTCACGGAGAGGACTTCCTCACCTGAGACCAGGAGCTCCAGGGGGTCACTGGGTTCCGACCACACCTGGGGCTTTCCCCGGTCATAACCGTAGCATCTGAACGTCCACCTGTGGCCGGGGGTCACAGGGCCCACAGGGAACAGGGCCTGGACCTGTCCGCTGGGGCCTGGCTGTGAGTCCAGGGTCCAGGAGAGCCCGTCTCCTCCTTCCTCGGTCAGAATGAACCTGTCGTATTCCCACCATGAGCCACACTGGAGGGTCACGGTCCCTCCTGAGGTCACCACAGGGCTGGGCAGGGCCGAGAGGCTGGGTTTGCTGTCGGGTCCTAGGAGAGGAGGAGGCAGCGCGTTACATGGACTCACCCCTCCCACACTGTCCCCAGGGCTGGGCTGTGAGAGGGGACACCCTGAGTGCAGACCCCTCCTGAGGGCAGAGCCGGGGCTGGGCCCCCGAGTGTCCTCTCACCTGTCACCACCAGCTCCAGGGGCTCACTGCGCTCTGACCAGCCAGCAGGGGTTCGGTAGTAACAGCGATATCGTCCTGCATAGTGCTCTGTTATGTGTTCTATGGTGAACTTGGTCTTGTTCCTGGGCTGCAGTAGCTCCTGTTTGTCCCAGGGCACTTGGATTCCCTCTATATCCAGACGATACTCCTGGGCCTCCAGGGTCCCCTCACACCAGAGGGTCACAGGCTTCCCCCGTGGTATCACAGATCCTGGCTCAGCCCAGAGCCTGGGTGTGGGGAGGGTCCCTGAGGGAGATCACAGCTGGGTCTCAGGCCCATCCTGCTCCCTCACACCCCAGCTCTCAGCCCCAGGACCCTCCACACCTCCCCAGCACCGGCCCACACCTGCTGTTCTCCCTCCCCACTGCCCACGGTGGCCCCTTGTCCCCGGGAGGAGGAGGGACAGGGACAGCTGGGGACACACTCACCGGCCTGCACTCGGGTCCTGGGGCCCAGACTCAGCCCTGGAAGAGAGCTCCCCGTGAGAGGTTTGCCCCGGAGCCTGAGCAGGTCCTCTCCTCCCGGGGCCTCCTGAGCCCTGGGTCTCCTGATGGAGCAGGGCTGGCTGTGGGGTGGGGGCCCTCCCAGAGCGGGGTGTCCCCTGCCCTCTTCCCGTCTCACCCAGGCAGAGCAGGGCCGTGAGGCTGGGGGTCATGGCGTCTCCATCTGCTGGTCACTGCTGTGTAGAGAGATGTGTCTGCACTTCCTGGCTGGCTCCACAGAGAACCGGGTGTGGCCACTGGGAGGCTGGGCTCTGCCCTTCAACAGTGTGTCAAGAGCCCCTGCTGCGGGAAGGGGGAATTTCTCTCCACAGAAGCCAGCACTCTTGTGTTGCATTGCAGGTCTGGGGCAGGCTGGCGTCTGACATTGGGTTTTCCCTGTCTTTTAATCTTCTTGATTTACAACAATCTCACTGAGGGCCAGGATGTAGCAGCAATAGACTTGTTTTTCTGAGCTGCGCCTTCCGGGTGAGGGTGCCGAGGGCCAGGTGTTGAGGAACTTGACATAAGAGCATCCATCTTGGAAGAAACGTAAGGACATCTGAGTGCCTGGCAGACTGGTCATCTCAGGACGCGAAGTGGCAGCAGTTCTTGTTTGTCCTGTGTTAACCTCCCAAGAGGATGTAGACAGAGTAAAAGCTGTCTTTTAAGGGGTTAGAAGGACAAAGTAAAAAACAAAGTTGTTTTTGAGAACACAGCTGGCCAAGATATTATATAACTTTAGATATAAGATAAAATGCTAAAAACGTGCTTTTCGTCTGATGCTCTGAACACCTTCAGTAAATCCTGCAGGTGTGACCAGGAGGCTGCTGTTTGCCTGAGCGAGCCGCAGGCCTCTGATCCTGCCCCTCACATCTTGCCTCTCTTCATTTTGCGTCCCCGAGACACTCGGGGAATCGGCGACAGCCGGGCCTTCCTCCAGAGCCTCCCCGCGGTCTCCCCTCCTCCCTCAGCCAGTCCACTGCCCAGCACGGTGGTCCTCACCGTGGCCGTCCTCTCCAGCCCTGGAGATGCTGCGGGAAGTCGCAGGTTCCTGCTGCAGGTGACGCAGAGGCTGAGCCCTGACTGTGCCGCTCACCAGAGCTGCATCCTGGGGATAAGCCCGGAGGAGAGGCAGGGCGACATGGCAGCAGAGCTGACTCACTTCCTGGGCAGCCTGTCCACCTTCACGGACCTCCCTGTTCTCCCAGTCCCTGAGACCACTTGCTCCTCCCTGGGAGGAAATTCCCGAGCCACTCCTGCACCCTCAGGCCGCGTGCGGATGCCCCTTAGCCTGGTGCGCGCCGGGTCACCGTGTCTGTGATGCCCTGCGCTTGGCATCTCCCTCTGAGCCTCGGCTTCCTCGTTTGCCCCCGCGGTCTTCACCCCACCGCTACAGATATGAGGGGTCAGTGGTTCCGGGGCACGCAGGGGCTCAGCGTGGTTAACCTTCAGAGCAGGGAAGACAGGGGTTCGGAACACACGCGGTGCTCGGTGTGGGACCAGGCCCCACAGAACCGCGTCCCTCTCTGCTCCGAGCACCGAGCGATGGTCCACGGAATACGTCTGGAGCTTCCAGATCATCCTGGTCAGGAAGGAAGGTTTTCGAAAGGAGATGGATACAAAGGGCAAAGCTGAGAGGACCTGGAGTCTAGGATCTTGAAGGGGTCGTCGGAGAGGAGTCTTCTTCCTGTGGGGGTGGAAGTGAGGTAGGACACTGGGGGAGGCAGAGGTGCTGTGCAGCACAGGGCAGGACCTGTCAATCGCAACCTTGCCTCGGAGCCAATCAGAGTGCTATCTTCCATCTTCTCTTCCTGGGAAGCGAGAAGGTTTCTGATAGGAAGGCTCAGCCTGACTGCAGTGGGAGCTACCGAAGATGCCCCCCCCCACCCCCCAGGGCTTGGCCCTGCGGTCTCTCCCTGTGGTCCGCTCCCACCTTGAGACTATGCTACTTTTTCTATTCTTAACTGGCCCAGACCTGCTCTGCAGAGCATGTTTCTTTTGCTGCCTTTGTGAAATAAGTGTAAACGTCACTAATTTTTGGTGCTTGTTTTGTCCAGTTCTTTATTCAGGACAAGAAGTGTTGTGCCCAGATCGCAATATCCCCAAGGACCACCAAGGAGTCAAGTCCGATGCAATCACATGAGGAGTTTATTGCAAGCTCGAGCCTGGATCCTCGTACCTCACCGACCAAATGGATCCGAAACAAGAGCCCCGACCCTCTTTTGAGGCATATTTTTATAGGGTTTGGGAGGCTTGAAATCTATTTCTTCCCTATTGGTGCTTTATCTTACTTTCTATTACTATTGAATATTGCCGGGATGCTTAGGAGAATAGAAGAGTATAAGCGGGAAGTTACTAATGCCCACAAGAGGAGCAAGTTCCTTCTAAAGAACAGCCTATGTGGTTAAACAATTAGGCAAACTCTTTACGTTTAGTGAAGCATGCGGTTTCTTTACTCAATTTATTTCTAACTTATCTTATTTTGCAAACTTAAGCAACTATCAGGGAGGGGGTAGGTTCACTCTTGAGTCAGAGCAAAAGGAACACAAAATCCAGAAGTAGGTTGTTATACAAAATGGAGTTTCTGTTCTCTGCCCAGAACATAAAGACGGACAAAAGGCAAAGAGGGAGCCCACCTTGATCAGAAAATTTGGTTCCTACAGAAGAACCTAGAAAGCATGTCTAGGAGTCCCCAGAGCCCAGAGCTTGGTAACAGAAGCTCAGGGCTGCAGGGGAGATTAAGCTGCGCGCCTCCTCCGTCTTTACAGGACACTGAGACCTCAGCTGGGTCCTTGATCAGCACTGAGCCACCTCTCCATGTGGGCGCAGTGAATGCTCCAGCATTGTCACCCCAGGCCTCACACGTTGCACACTGTTCCAGGTGCGTCAGGGCTGCGGTGTGGCTTCCCTGAGACCTTGTGCAGACTCAGGCGACTGGAGCAGGGCTGGACCAGCTGGAGGCTGGGTGTGGGCCGGTGCCTGACTGGGGACCGTCCTTGATGGGCCTCAGACCAAGGTCCTCGCTGCCTCGCTCCTTCTTAGCTGTGCAGTGCTGGGGGAAGCCACGGCGTCCTGCATGTGCAAGAGAGGCAGGTGCTCTCCCGAGCGAGCGAGCGAGCGTCTCTCCCAGGAGCTGGTTGTGGCGACCCTCCCCGCAGGGGTGTTGCGTCTGCGCTGCAGGGAGCCGCTTTGTTTGCAGTGCATAGGGACAGTGCGTGGGTTAGATGCTGCGGAGGTGCATCCTTTGCTCTCTCCTAGGATCAGGGGCGTTTCCCCCACACTGTGGCAGGAAGAGCCTCACCCACCTGGCCCTGGAAGGCCACAGCTCGGAGGAGCGCACCCCGCTGTCGCTGCACGGCAAGACCCGTGTACCGTGGGGAGCTGTGTCCAGCAGACTCTGCGGGCTGGGGCCTGGATGGGCTTGATACAGGGAAACCCTTGCCGGGTCCCCTTGGGTCAGGGAGGAGTGGCTGGGGCTGCCGGGGGCCCCCACTATGGAGACTCAGGGAGGCTGTGGACCCCACTTGATCTCTCAGCAGTGTGGGGCATCTGCGTCCTGGCTTTGGCAGCTTGGGGTCTGAGGTCCTCACCTTTGATGTCACCACGGTGGGCCCAGAGGGCGCTGCCTTCCCGGTGGTTTAGTGGGTGGCTCGGTGTGTGCCGTGCACAGGACGGGGGTGTGAGCGGACTAGTGTGGGAGCCAGGCACAGCAATAGTGAGCACACTGGCTACTGCTCTTCTGTGTACCTGGAGGTGAGGCCCTAAAATGACAGGTGTCTCATGGTCCCTACTGGGGCTCCTTTTGGCTTGAAGCACTTAGAATTATATCTTGTATTCCAGTTACCTGCATAGATTTGTAAGGTCCTTTTGGTACCAGGGATCGAACTCAGGACCTTGTGCTTTTGAGACAGGCGGTGGAACCACTGAGCTAGATCCCCAGCTCCTTTTAAGGTCCTTATTGAAGGTAGGAAAGGCACTAATATTGTGTGTGTGTGTGTGTGTGTGTGTGTGTGTGTTTTTGGATTTGAACTCTGGATTTTTATACTGATCCACAGTCTTGGCTTTTTTTCTTTTTTCTTTTTTTTTTTTTTTTTGCTGGGGGCAGGGTCTTACTGTGTAGCCCAGGCTGGCCTTGGACTTGTGGCAATCTTCCTGCCTCAGCCTCCTGAGTGATGGGATTGCAGGCAAGTGCCACCACGCCTAGCTGGCTTTTTTGTCCCCTAGAGGCCAAGTTTCATAAAATTTTTACTTGAAAAAATGCTTTTACAAAATATTCTTCCAGTCAAAGAGACTTTCCCATAGGGTTACATGTAGCTTTCTGCCTTAAAGATTACAGTGTTACATCCTGAGGGGAGAGGTTTCTTTTCATAGCTACCTAGCTGCAAGACCTATGAGGGAAGTAGATTTTATAAAAGTGCCTTTAAAATGTGGAAGCAAGTAATATGACTGCTGAATCCAATGAAATTTTAAAAGTTTCTTGAAAATGGCCCTTATGGTATGCACAAGGTCACAGCTGGTATTTAGTTTGAAACACAAAAACAAAGCATATGAGCAGTAGTTTTTGAAAAATAATTTGAAATGTCGTCCTAAGACCAACTCGGACAGTATTGAGAGAATCAACAAACACGCTGAATATTAAAGTATCCAAATGTTTACTTTGAGGTTTTTTAGTACCACTCACCGATTAGGATAAAAAAGTTGCTGCCAGACTAACTCGGGATGCCTTATTTCACACTACATCGACCATATCTTGCTATGTATATTCTAAAAATGCTCAGCTGGGCTTTAGGATGCAAACTCTCTTTTCCTAGCTATTCTGTTGCAGTCTGGCGGCCTTGAGCTGTGAAACCCTTTTTGCAGCTTCCACTGCTGCTTCTGACAGAATTTCTTTTCTCTCTGGAATGGGGGGCGGTACAGGGTGAGCGATGGCTGGTTAAGGAGGACGATAAAAATTCTTTTCTGTTACAGTTCCAGGAAAAGCCTCAGGTGCTCCTGACAAGGGCAAGGGTTTCTTTTGATGATTTTTCTTCTTGTGGTTCCTCTTCCAAAATGCTCTCACCAGTGTCACTGCAAGTGGCTTCTTCATGGCCGAGACTCCTCAAAACTCCCGCCTTTCATCAAATTCAGTCCCACTGGTCTCACTGGTGTCACCGCAAGCGCTGTTCCCTCTGCTTCAGGAGTTGAGCCGGACCATATTCTCCATTC